GTTAAAATTTCTTCTGTAACCTTTGGAGGGAAATAGGATGCCTTCAGGCAGGGGAAGCTGGAAGGGTACTCCGGGTTCTGATAAACGGTCATCAGTAATAGAAAGGAACTCGAACATTGATTACATAAGGATACCGTTACGGGATAGACCTCCATCAAGCACCAAGAATGTTCACAACAGCTCGTCAATGGACGGTCTAGACATATCGGTACGCAACCCAATGGGCTCAGGCTTCCGCGATTCATTGTCTGATGACTCAGAGCATTTCAGGGATTTTGGGTCCCGATCGATGGACATCACTTCAGAAAATATAGATTTCGGGAACTCATCCGACAGTCCCACGCACCCCTCACAGTCGTCCGTGGTGAGTGTGCATGCATGGCATAATATATATGGGTTTACATTACGACAAGTCTCAGAACTTTATTCTTCTTTCTTCTTCTACAGAAAGATATCGAAGCCGAGATGAAAAGGCTTAAGCTGGAGCTAAAGCAAACCATGGAAATGTATAGCACAGCGTGCAAGGAAGCAATTTCAGCCAAGCAAAAGGTAACTGTTTTGTCTTCCTGCATTCTCCTAGGTCGAGCTTCAATCAAGCTACTATAACCTTCTCCTTGATCATGGTTTCCTGTATGTTTGTTTGTATTATTGATCAATGTTTAAATGCTTCAGGCTCTAGAACTTCATCAATGGAAAGTGGAAGAAGCTCGTAAATTCCAGGAAGCCAGGATGGCGGAAGAGGCAGCCCTTGCTATTGCAGAGAGGGAGAAAGCAAAGTGTAAAGCGGCCATTGAAGCTGCGGAAGCGGCGCAGAGACTAGCTGAAATTGAAGCAAACAAGAGAAGGAGCGCAGAGCTCAAGGCAAAGCGTGAGGCGGAGGAGAGAGTCAGAGCATTGGATGCATTGTCCAAACATGAYATTCGCTACAGAAAATACTCCATAGATGAGATAGAAGTTGCAACAGAACGCTTCGCAGAATCATTGAAGATTGGAGAAGGTGGATATGGGCCCGTGTATAAGGCCTTCCTGGATCACACCCCCGTCGCCATTAAGGTTTTAAGACCGGATGCAGCTCAGGGAAGGAAGCAATTCCAACAAGAGGTATGCATACGCATGTGGCTAACTAGTTGTAGCAGTACTGTGCTCAGGCTTAGGAGTTAGGAATGCTCCGGCTAGGCCGGCCGATTTGTGACGGACTACGATTGTCATGATGATGCAGGTTGAGGTATTGAGCTGCATCAGACATCCAAACATGGTTCTGTTGCTAGGTGCCTGCCCGGAATACGGATGTCTGGTTTACGAGTACATGGACAACGGTAGTTTAGAAGATAGACTATTCCGGAGAGAGAACACTCCCGCAATCCCATGGCAGATTCGGTTCAAGATAGCAGCAGAGATAGCAACAGGGCTTCTCTTCCTTCACCAGACGAAGCCAGAGCCCCTGGTGCACCGGGACCTCAAGCCGGCGAACATCCTCCTGGATCGGAATTACGTGAGCAAGATAAGTGATGTAGGGCTAGCACGGTTAGTTCCACCGTCTGTGGCTGATAGTGTRACACAGTATCGGATGACATCGGCTGCAGGGACGTTCTGCTACATAGACCCGGAGTACCAACAGACGGGAATGTTGGGGATCAAATCAGATATATATTCTCTGGGAATAATGTTGCTGCAGATTATCACGGCCAAACCTCCGATGGGTCTCACCCACCATGTGGAGAGGGCCATCGAAAGAGGAACCTTTGCGGAGATACTGGATCAGTCCGTGACGGACTGGCCCGTTGAAGAGGCCTTCAAGTATGCAAAGCTGGCTTTGAAGTGCGCCGAGCTTAGGAGGAAGGATAGACCAGACCTTGGAACCGTGGTTTTGCCGGAGCTCAACCGACTCAGAGATCTTGGGAATAATGAAATCTCTAACCTCGGCGGCATGAGCTTTGGACCTCGTTCTTACCATGCGCATTCACGCCARAGGATGTCCAATCCGGGTTCGAATCCGAATTCGAGTGCAAGTTCGGTTAGTTCATCTACCTTATCAGCGATCGAATTATTATTACTATTTTTTTACAACACTTTGGAAAACAGTGTTATGCTATCCATACGGGTTTATCAAATTATTTTTCCAAGATGGTAGCCTTGGACAACATGATCTGGGTTCCATCCGGTGCACCAGATCCACCGTCCCATGCAATACTACTGTTTTCACTTCTCAGAGATCAATGACAATGATGATATGGTAGCATGCCTCAGGTTTAACGTTAAAAGATTAAGGCCGTGTTTGGGAGCSCTTAATGGGCTTTCTGTACTTTTCATGTTTAGGAAGCCAAAAGCCCAGAAAACGAAGGTTTTGTGAAAAAGCTTTAAATGGGCTTTTTGTTTTTTTTTTTGTTTTTAAATAAAAAAAACCGTTTGAAAAAAAAAAACAAAATAAAATCCATTTACTCTTTGACATCTTAACTAACTATTTTGATCAAAAAAACCGATAACTAGATAAACACCAAAAAACGCTTTTCTTAACAAAAAGTGGTTTTTCAGTTCATTTATACTCCCAAACGTGGCCTTAAACAGAAATAAAATTTCCAGAAAAACACAAGGCAAACCAAAAGAAAATAAGTAGATAACTGTTCAGCAAGACAGTCTTGAAATCTGTAACGGTTTTGAGAAATGTTCAGATTATACCTTTTTCTTTTTTTAACACGATACACTGAAGATAATTCTTGAGACCCAGGCCGAGCATACCGAAGATAATTCATATTTGAGGCTTTTTACACTGTTTTCTTTATTTTTTATCTTCTTGGAAACAGGAAGCGATGAGCGATCCTAATGTGGCAATTGAGCCAGCGTAAATCTGAAGAAGATGCCACCAATGCACATCCACAGGCAGAGTAATTGGRGGAAGAAGAACATTGCCAAGAAGTTAATTGCACGAGGAAGCGGGAGAGTAGGTTATAAATCAAATAAAAAACAGATGGTCGTTGGTTATGTAATTTGCAAGTTTTACCTGTATATCATGTTTTCTTTCTTTCCTTCTTCCTTTCTTTTCTTTTTGAAAGCAGCTTGTATATCATGTTAATATGTATTTTGTTAAATTCAGTATTCATATACATATTAAAAACAATCAATATTCATAGTTTGTGGAGAAGGATCTCTCTTAAACCGTTTTGTTTCTCTTTTCTTTTTCTTGAAYTGATTAATGCAAGTGGGATGGATTTAAATTACATAACTTCGCCCGTCCGATCTTGTCATATATCCTTAGAGGTGTAATGTGGGCCGGGCCGGCACACGGGCCTTGGCAGGTCATGCCTGCTTGGCAGTTGGCACGAATCCCCCAGGAGGGGAGTCTGGCACAGCCCGAGACCTGGCCCCAATGGGCCATAGGCCAGGCCACGGGTGGCACAGTTTTTTTTAGAAATTTTGAAAAAAAAA